TTATTTTCAATAATTATTTAGTCACTTTTCAATTTTGACAATGTACAGGAAAAACAAAATACATTTTTCAGGTATTAGTAGGATTTCAAAAAATACTCAGCATTGACCTAATTACACAATTCTGTTTACTAAAGTAATCATCACTAGGACAGTTACACTGATAAAACATGCTTCTAAAATCTCATTTCAGTATTGTAACTAACTAATATAGCAATGTGCATTAGGAAGTGAGGTTGTAGTATTTGCAGATTCCCCAAAAAATTGCTCTCCTTACATCACTGATAACTATAAACTATATTTCAATCAGATGGCAAAATCTATCTAAATGTAAGCAAATTTAATAATGTACAGTAGTCCTGAATTTTGTCCCATATCTGCAATAATGCTGAATTTTATTTAACATCTACGCACTCTTCACTAGCTAAATTAATCAAATTAGTATTTTACTGATTTTTCTATTCACTTGAGTTAACAATACTTCAAGCAATCTGTTTCATGTTCCTTGCAAATGTAACCAAACATAACATCTATCATAAAAGTTTGGCTTCTGTATCATTGATAGCTTAATTTTGTTTTTATCTTTTTCTCTCTTTAGTCTCACTAAAATACCAACACCTCTTCTGTAATGAAAGACACATTTATGCTCTCCGAGGCCATCTTAGCTCCATTAAAGTCAACAAGGGTCAGTATTCAACCATTCTTCCCAATTCCTTAAACATTTCATTCTTAAAATAAATACGGAGAATGCCTAAAATTGTAAATCTGGAACACATTCCTAACTTAGTGGAAAATTCAACACCCATGAAATACTCAGTGTAAGTATAAGACTGATTTCATGAAAAGTTTTCTTGTCTAGAAAAAATTGTTGATAGCACTGCAATTAACAATACAGTTTTCAGATGTGACCTGTTACAGATAATTTTTTAAAGAGTGTCTTTCTACAGAGGCAGATGTATGCTGTCTTTTATCAAAACTCCTGACAGTACTTTCGAGCTGTCAAACTCAGATTGCAGAACCTGGAACTTATTTATATAATTCAGTACCTACATCCAATTTATCAGCTTCAGTTTCCAGTGCACCCAAGTGAACAAGTATCTGTCTTATTCCAACTGCTAGCAATACGTCTTGCAATATGGTATGAAAAAGTTGTTATAACTTTAGCCACACACCGAGAATATGCTTCACTATCTAGACAGGCTGTAGTCAGCGTGTCTCCATTTTGCTAATAATTGATGCCTGCAGCAAAGCTTTTGATATCTCTTTTCTAAAATACTCACAACTGAGTATTTTACCTTGATTGCAGACATCTCCATGCATAGAATTCAAGAAGAAAGGTAATTCATGTAGAATATCATAGGGCTTAAGGATGATTAAAAGCTTTGTTAGAGAGACATCTTCAGAATCAGGTATTCCCTTGCTACTTTGGAACATACAGCAGAAGTAAAAGCTTCTCACACAGACTTGAATTTTGTTTCATCTTTCAGATACTTTTTAAGAAACCCAATTATTTTTGGTACTAATTGCTAGTGATTCTCACCACTCTTCAGACAGTCTTTTCTGACAAAAAAAATTACTTGTCAGGTCGCTAGAGAATGGAGGAGTAAGTGTATTATGCATTTGCTTTTTCTTCTTAATGGATTGTTAAAAACAAGCAGAATAGAATTGGGTCACTTTATGTTGTCCTTTTGAAACACATTTTGGTACCTTTTCATCTATCAAACAGAGTATTAGTTTGTAACACATAAAACCATCTGAGAAGTTCAAGAGATCTGAAGTCTCACTTTTTTCAGGTGCCCGAGGAACCACTGGTTTTATTTTTAACTTGTCCTCTTCAATATTTTACTGATTTCAAAGACACATGTTCCAAGCAGCATCAGGAAGTGGATAAACATATCCTGGCACTGAAGCTCTTCAAAAAGTTTGCATTCTATGATCATTTAATAGTTCATACATTTTGCCAATTTTATCTATGACAGACCAAGAAAAAGAAAGGGGAGAGAAGTGTGGGGGAAAATAAAGGTAGGCAAAATAAGAGAAGTAGTCACTGAGGTACCATAGAAAAGACCTAAATACCTTCATACCTGCCTTTGTGACTTCAGAATCTACATTCTTTTTTCATATGAAATTGTTTCTTTTGAAAACACCATTCACTTTGTCCTTTGGAGAACCTCACATTTTCAATGCTTTGGTACCATTACTTTACTTATTATTGAATCCCCATTAATATATGCAGCTGCCCCTTTTTATAATTTTTTTATCATTATTTCATAGAAAATAGACCTTTTACCTCTTTTCTACAGGAAAAAAAATTAACTAAACCAGTCTCCTTTCTGCATCTTTTTATATTTTCATCATAGAAGGAAATTCAATAGATTTGGTATCAGAGAGGATTCTCTTTCCATTATAGACTCTGGAATGTCAATAGAAGCTCATTTATAAATTCTATAGTTTCCTTTTCTTGTCATAAGGAACTAACCTTTGTAGATCTACCATCAATGGAAATGAAAGACTATAAGATAAAGATGTAAAAGATCTTGTAAAAGACACTGCTGACCGAAAGGGGGCTTCTCTAAGTTATCTTACCATTTTGATTCACTCACAAAAGAAAATCTGGTAATTTAAATCCTATAAGAAATTCAGAACTCAGAAGTATAATAAACCACTGCAGCAAAATTAGCACTTTTTATTGGGAACGTTATGCCAAGGATATGCAATCTTTTCAGATAGAATGCAGGCAGAACAGTTTCTGCTCCATTTGGCTTTCAGGGGCAGTCTTAACTCTTGAAGACAAAAGACATCCATCTTGTAGACTAGGAGAGAGTAAGTTAGAAAACCGTGCCCTGCCCATATTCGTTGTCGTGGTTGGGGCTGGGCTGGCCACTAAAACGAACAACAGATCCTCTCATTTACTTCTCGTCTTTTTCAGAGAAGGGAGAGCATCTCCCTTCAGGGAGAGAAGGGTAAGAGACTTACTAGTTTAAAAGAAAACTAAACTACTTTAATGCAATATTAATAGCAAAATAAGAAGATAGTAAGATTATTTTTAAAAAAAATAATATATATATAATAAATATATAAAACCAGTGTCAAGCTCCCAGGATAATGATCACCTCACCAGCAGGCACTGGGAAAGTCCCAGACTGGACTCAGTAACAAATGGAAATTGGATTCTGGATCTGGGTTCAGCAACACACAGATCAGAATCAAAGGCAGGTGAACAGAGTCCTCCTTGGACACTGGCCACTGAAGAAAAAAGCCTGACCTTTTGATCCCTCAGCTTTTATACTGAGCATGGGGCAGATGGGATGGAATACCCCTGTTGGTCAGGTTTGGGTCACCTGTCCTGTCCCCTCCTCCCTACAGGTGGGACCCCTTTACACTTTTCCGCTTCCAACCCTCCAAAGGGGCAAATAACAAAGTGAGCTGACCTTGGTTTTTATACCAATAAGTATAAACAAGAGCCCCCCTCTGCATACCCTTCCTTGGTATGAATTATAAACATTACATCTTATCACTCTGGAAGCAGACTACTGTCCAAAAAAATATACCAGTAATTTCAGAGAGTTCAGTTAGTTAGAAGACACCTAACTGAAAAGTAAAACTACTGAACAGAAAATCGGTTCTGTTTTACCTCAAACCAGGACACTCAACCTAACAGACATGCAACCAAAACTACCTCCCAAGTTTTTATTTTATTTTTATACTGAAATTTTGCTTCTTTCAGGATATTTTTATCCCATTTTTCTCTTTGTGAAGATTACATAGCACCTAAAAACCCACAACAGCATTGGCTTTTCTGTGCTAGCTGGTGAAAAAGTACAATGCGGACCCCAGAGAATCTAATCAAGACCAAAAAAATCCCAACTGTAAAGCTAATACATTTTTACCGTGTAAAGCTGAAAAACTCATTTATAAAAAACTTAGTTATAATCTTATAACTAACGTTTCCCTGACCAGAGATCCTGAGCTTGACCCTTGTAGGAGAAAATAATTGAAACTTTAACATACTTTGCCCACGCTAATAGGATGGGGCTGTTCTAAGAGTGATTTACATTTGGGCCATATTCAGCTCTGGAGATTTCCAAGACCCGCCTGGATGCAGTCCTGAGTCATGTGCTCTGGGCAATCCTGCTTTAGCAGGGGAGTGGGACTAGATGATCTCTAGAGGTCCCTTCCAACTCTGTCGAATCTGTGAATCTGTGTGAAGGTGCAACCCCAAGGAAGCCAAATCACATCCTTGCCTGTACTTCCTCATCTGCAGCTGAGGAAGAGTGACCATGAGCTGCTGTATGGACAAACTGGAGCCCACCCAGAGCCTTGGCTGGCAACCAGTGTTGTCTGACTGTGCTGGTTTGAGTTAGAGAAAAGGAATCTCCTGCTTGCATGCTATGACACATCCTTGGGAGGGGCCCCCAAAAGTCTCCTCAACCAATGACCTTCACCAACATTCACCTGTACAGGCCTTCCCACCACAGCTCACCAGCAAAAGCAAGGAAACATGATGGTCCCTTGCTGGCCCGTGGTCCAGCTAGAAAGTAGAGTAGTAGCTTTCCCCTCATCAAGGCTCACCCAAGCCCTCACTTAACCTTCCAGGTGAGGGAGTGAAAGGGCGGCAACCCTCAGTTGAGACCCTTCTCCTCTGACCACCCGCTCCCCACTATGGGTCCTCACAACAGCCTGCCCTTGCCCCTCTCCCGGTGCCACCGAGCCCCTTTCTGGAGGGCCGCACCTACGGGAGAAAAGAGCCACCGTTGGGGGGGCACAAGGCGAAGTTCAAGGGACGGGGAGCCGCCCCGTCAGAGGGGACACCTCGCCCTCCAGCAGCCCGGGTGGCGCCCCTCCTCAGCCCGCGGCTGCCGGCGCCCCCTCAGCGCATCCCGCCGCCGCATCCCCGCCAACGGCCGGCGGCTCCCGCACGGCGGCGGTGATGTCACATCCGCCGCCCCGCTCCCCGCGCCCGTCCAGCCGCGCTCGCCGCCGTCTCCCGG